AGTAATCGTACTCTTACGCATGTACCTTTCCATCCAACTGGTAAAGAAGGCAATAATATCTCACCTCCACAGATCCAAAAGAAATCTGCTATTATTATTGATTGGTCTTCATAAATTTCTATAGAAGGTAAAGCAATAGTTTGATTTTCACATTTTTCAGGTGCTATTTTACTTCCTTTGTTTGTTCCGAGTGCTAAAAGTGCTGGAGCTCTAGAAGGAAGTCCTGATTTCCAATAATGTTTCTTATCTATATACCAAATAATAGCACATTTCCCTTTAAACTTGCCCACTTCTTGTGTTCCTTTTGGTTTATGGAAACACTCATATTCCTGTTTATAATCTATGCTATACCATTTCGGAATCTCTACTTTCTGTTTTTCAATTTTTATATTTTGGCTGACATCTGAATACTGACACCATGATCCCCAGAGTGGTCTATAAAAATAATCTGTTAATTTAGGATTTCCCAAAAATCCTAGACATTCAGCAATACAATATGGTCTGGTAAAATCTGTTAAATGACAAAAGTTTCTCCCAAATTCGGCACATTTTTGGTAGTCATATGGATTTGGTATGGCTATCACTTTGTTTAACGGAGATTTGGAGCACAGCAAGCAATTTTCTTTTCCTGTTCCTCTAGCAGTAAAGGCTGCCCATCTATACCACTCATTATTTTGGGCTGTTTCCCATAATGCATCATTTTGATTAATGTCTTCATCACCTTGAATCTCATAATCTGTATTTTTACGATATTTGATTATCATTGGTTCTGTTCAGTTGATATCATTATCGCTGTTGTTCAAAGGTTGAAAAGTTAATTGAAGGGAAGTCAGTTTGCTTTCTGTTGGTTGAGTTTGAATTTGAAGCATTAGGTGCATTAGGCATAAGATGGTCTTCAGATATGTTATCAGACTTATTCTCTTTCCTCTCCTGTTCGTCTGACAGGTGGAAGGGAGCTCCTGGTGGATCTTTTTTGTGCTCTCGTCCTTTTGCACTTCATCTTGTGTCTCTGGTTTCTCCTCGTTACTTTCTCCTGCATTGTCTGCTTGTCTGTTTTCTTTCCTTTCCGTCTTTTCCGTGGGAACTCTAGTACAGTGGTTTAGATGATACCAGGTTGTGCTTCCCTCCACTTGGACTGCTGTTGGAGTAGCTCTCACCACTTTGTAGGGTCCCTCTCTCCTTGGCTCATTCCATTTTCTCTGGAATACCCTCAGATATACTTGGTCAGCCGGAACAACTGGCTCTGTTTCCTCTCTGGGCTCTTTTAATTTTTTCCTGTAAATAGATAGCTTTAGCTTTTTAGTTCCATTTGTAATTGCTCTAGAGGCGGTCCTTTGTAGGGACCTCTACAATATGGCACAGGCATGGCATTAGTTTGCATGCGATAGCTCATTAGTGCAAGAGGTAATGCATCAATCCAATTAAGTTTAGTACTTTCACATATTTTGTTAATTTTGGCCTTGATAGTTCCATTAAGCCTTTCGACGGACCCTTGTGCCTGTGGATGGTAAATGCACCCTAGTCTCTGGTTTATTCGTACTTGTTGCAATACTTGTTTTACAGTTTTTTGTATGAATGCCGACCCATTATCTGAACTTATTTCTGATGGTATTCCAAATCTAGGAATTACTTCTCTTGTTAGAAATTTAATTACTGTTCCTGCTCCCAGATCTGCTGATGGTACTGCCTCCACCCACCTGCTAAATCTGTCTGTGATCACAAGCATGTATCTTTTGCCTTGTACTTGCTTTATCATATCCACATAGTCCATTACCAAATGCTTAAAGGGCCCTTCTGGTACTGGTCAACCTGGTCTCACAGAATTCCGTGTAATGACCACGGACCCTTAACTCCGAATCCGTGGTGGCATCACGGAATCGCCGAAAATTCCGTGATGGGATCACAGAAGTGATACCAATGTAAGTCAGTGACAGGCATCAGCCGTGGTTGATTTATTAACTTAATTAATCACAGAATTATCTCATTAACTTTAACACCGCTTCACAAAAATAGGCCTACCAATCTGCATGATCTGTTTGAAACAGTTAATCGGTGTGAAGACCATGAGCCTATGCTTCTCACATTTGCATTATAGGCTAGCCTACATCCCTCATAGAATTTTCGGTCTTGTAGGCCCATCAATTTCGATTGATGAATGACAGATGAAGCTTAGGCCAAATTATTTTAAATGAAACAACATTAGGGTAGCTACAAGCCACTGCGTGAGACCTGAGGTTGTCCGTGTGTCTACCACGGAAGACTCCGTGGTGCCACCACAGAAATTCACAATAAGCAAAAGGCTACAAACTGATCAAACTGAATTATATGAAAACAGGGGTAGATGAGAGGTTGACAGGTTAATTGCCATCGCAGACACCGTCTTGAAGACTTCAAGTGTCAAAACGAACAAACTACTTTGGCCTATAGCCTAAATAACGTCCAGTGAGGGTGAAACTGTGGTGACCACGGAAGATTCCGTGATACCATCACGGAACTTGAGCCGATCAGAGGAAGCTAGCGCTCAAACGACTACAGAACAATGCTTCGGGCATGGTGAAAAAATATTTCACGTGAAGTATTTTTGAAGTAGGTCTAAAAAAGCCCAGAATATTTAAAGTGATAGGCTTACGTTTCCAAATTAGAAAATTACGTCAATTGAGGCAGCGCTGGTGTTGAACCAGTGGATCCGTGTGTGGACCACGTAAAAAGAATGACTCCGATGCAGTTATATTAGAATCCGGTTATCCGTGCGTGGACCACGGCTGATGCCTGTCACTGACTTACATTGGTATCACTTCTGTGAGCCCATCACGGAATTTTTGGCGATTCCAAAAATGTAGGGTTAGCGGGGCCCCCAAAGCTGCGTTAGCCCAGGACCCCGCAAAGTCTTAATGCAGCACTGCATGTAGGTCAGGAAAATTAAAAATTTCTCGGGGGAGCATGCCCCCGAACCCACCCATCTCCATTTTGGGACCTCGGTACTTATAAAAACCTGCGTATGGCCCTGCATACTGCTAATCTCCAGTTGTTCATCCATGCATAACAATATACATTAATGAAGAAACAAAACAAGAGAAAAAGCAAAAAACTAAACTAAACACTAACACAAAAACACGCGAAAAGATGTGAGCTGCAGTAACTCACGTGGCGCCATCTAATCAGGCCTTCACTTCAAGCTTTCAAGTTGTGATGTGATTTTTTTTGTTTTTGCTAGAAAAAGAGCAGGAGAAAAACCAAGCCTCTCAGAGCCAGCAAAAGCTATGAAAATAGTGACCGTTTCGGTTTCATCTCACACAGTAAGATGCAATGTGCAGAAGTGAAATGCATGGTTGATATCCACGCTGGAACTACCTACTGTAGCTAAAGCACAAAAAAACTAATTTAGCTTTTTCTAAGGCCCAATATTTACAAAATATAGACTTTTGGGAAAGTATACTCTGGTCCCATAAGACCAAGTCAATCATTTTGGATCTAACAGCATCCACACTGGCATGGCGTTGCTAGGAGTACAGTGTGAAGTACGTTCCCACCACAATACTCGGTTCCCACAGTGAAGCTCAGTAGTAGTTAAGTTCTTATATAGGGATGTATGAGTGCTGAAGGTGTGGAGTTGTGCTTTATCAATAGTGTCATTAAGTCACATACCATTGTGTGATGTAATACAAAAACTTAAAAATTCATGTTGCTGTACATTTTTTTTCAACATGACAATCACTATATATATTCTTCAAAGGTGAAAAGCCGTCTGAGTAAAAGTATTTCACCTAACCTTAACACCCTTGAACATCTGTAAGGGACTTTGTAGAGACAAGTTGAGCAACACAAAGCATTTAAGGAAGTTGTCCTCCAGGAGTTCAACAGGATAGATGTAACAATTTGTCATGAACTTGTACATTCAATGTCAAGGCGGTTCAGAGTTGTATACTTAAAGTTATGGAGGATATATGAAGTATTAAACTATTACATGTTTGTTGATTTTAATCAGGGCTGTACTCATTTCTGAAATGCAAGCTAAAAGTTCGTGAAAGTGATTTTGTGCTTCTTTGGGATGGCACAATAAAGCGATGTTCACTTGCAGAACGCAAGCTTCTAGAGGGCACATAAGTCTGAAGTAATGAATTTAGGTAAAGGGGTGCAGAGCCAGTGGGGGTTTTGTAGGCAAACATCAATGCCTTGAATTTTATGCGAGCAGCTATTGGTAGCCAGTGCAAATTGATAAACAGAGGTGTGACATGCATTCTTTTTGGCTCATTAAAAGTTAATCTTGCTGCTGCGTTCTGAATTAATTGTAGAGGTTTGATAGAACTGGCTGGAAGACCTGCCAAGCGAGCATTGCAATAGTCCAGCCTGGACAGAACAAGAACTTGAACAAGGAGTTGTGTTGCATGTTCTGAAAGAAAGGGCCTGATCTTCTTGATGTTGAATAAAGCAAATCTGCAGGACCGGACAGTTTTAGCAATGTAATCTGAGAAAGTCAGCTGATCATCAATCATAACTCCAAGGTTTCTGGCTGTTTTTGGAGTTATGGTTGATGTGCCTAATTGGATGGTGAAATTGTGATGAAACGATGGGTTTTTTCAATTAAAATTTTAACCCTGTAAAACCTGAAATGAAATATTGAGAAAGTCATTTGCATCACTGAAGACAAAACGGAGCTTCAATGTAACATTAAAAAGTAAAAGTACCAATTTCATATCCAAATAAGTATTTCCTTATGATTCCAAACTCTAATCAGTAGTGTACATTAGGTTTTACGCATTTGTTGTATTTAAGGGCTCCATTTGACTGTAATCCAAAAGGTTATTGTAAAAAAGTGGACTTTTAATTTTGTTTCATTCCAAGGTCTTGAAAGTTTGGCTTCTTCAGTGATTATATGCATTCTATATTAAATAATAGACAACTATTTGAGAATTCCAGTTTAATATTTATTTTCAAAAGACTCTTAATAAAACAGAAATTAAGTCCAAAAAAATTTTTTTTTCTAAAAGAACACTTAAAACCAAAAACTACTTAACATTGGAAATTTGTTGTGAACCCTCTCTGAGATCCAACAAACTGATAAATACAAGAGAATATCCACTGAGCACTAAATGGATTACCAGAATAGAAAATTAAACAATTACAACATTTACACATTTATATTTTCTTTTGCAAAAAAACAAAAAAGGAAAAAGTGGAAAGAACATGTTGAATTCAGTGATACTGCCAAAACCTTTTAAAAAACTTCTCTTTAAGAAGCTGTCAAAACCTGTGCTATCACAAAAACACCAGAACCTGTTGAAAGCATTTTACAATAACACTCAAAACAGTAAGGAAAACAGTGTATTTAAACAATTCAGCTGCTCAGGAGTTCTCTCATAGATCCTCGGATCTTAGTGTAGTTGCTCATGACATTTCAGTATCCTCAATTTTCATAATCTTTTTAGGGGTTCCTGTAAATGAGTCCTGCAACACAAGATGACAAAGTTGTGGGGGAAAAAACTTTGAAATGACATTTCATTACCATTTTAGTTGGAATATTTGTCAGAGTATTAATGCCCATCCCTAGTCAACGATCACACTATAGATGTACTGTACAAGACCAACCAAAAATAATTATTTTTTCCATTGAAGCTTCGACCTTATCTTGTTTGTATGCAAGTCTTCATCCCACGTAAGACTAACTTATTTCACCTGTTTTACCCAGACTTTAAACAGTCTGATTGCATATTTTTAATCCGCTAGCCCATTAGACCACCTCTCACCTGGGAGTGCAGTGTGATTCTGTGAATGTTTGGAAATCAATGCTGTAATATTTAGCACCAGCAATTTGATTTTAAGTTTTGTAAACTCAAATTGTGAAAGTTTGTTACAGAGACTTTGAGCAGCCCTAGCAAAAGGCCCACTGTGACTCAATAGCATCAAGGTTGACAGACAACAACCTCTTAAATAAACCAAATATCAGTCCCTCAAGTTTTTCATGAGTATATTTCCAAATAAAATGGCAAAAAGCGCAGTACTTAAGTTACTGAGTAAATTAGTGTGACAAAGAAACATGCATGAATGAGAAAAAGCACAGGACATGGTGGATGTTAAAATAAAATATAAGCACAATAATTGGAACTGGATGGCAGCATAACAAGCCTACTGCTGTGTCAATAATGTTAAATCAAACAAAAGACAAAAAATTACTCAATGAAATTTGAAACAAAATAATGAATCAAAATAACATTTGTAGCTTTACTATGAATCAGTGTATATTTAATTTATACAGTGAAGATGCAGTATTTTTAAAAATTAAATTTCTGTAGTATTTTGACCTAAAAACTAAATATACCTGAAAAATTAACTTCTTTGTTCTAGTGTTTGTAATTTCCTTTGTTGTTAAAAAAAAAAAAAGATACAAATATTTTATTTAAAAGTTGTCAAGAACTGTGCACACAAAATGAATGTAGCCTAATCATAGACTGTATAAATACATGGACGTAGTGTCCGTGACGTCACCCGTAGATTTCCAGAGCGTTTTTGAAGCTCAAAAGTGGGCGGAGGCGGCCGTCGCCATCTTGGCAGCGCGTCACCGCGCGTCACTCCCAGATAATCGAAAATGGGCAAAGAGGCGGGAGCAGGTTGCTGAAGCCACGCCCACCTAGCGCGATGGTGGTGACAGCAGCAGCAATCCACCTGTCACTCAAGTGGCCACGCCCTTAATTATGCAGAACTTTAAGGCTTAATATAATTTAAATGGATGAGTTATATAAAATTCACCCCCCTCACAGTTGTCATGAAGGGCAAAATTAGCTATATAGACCAAAATCATTTTTTGAACCAGGCTGTAAACATGTTTTTTTCTGCTGTAAAGTTGGGCATTTTAACATGGGGAGTCTATGGGATTGACTCCTTTTTGCAGCCAGCCTCTAGCGGCCAGTTGATGAATTACAGTTTAAGTCACTTCCTTGTTGGCTTCACGAGAGAGAGCGGGAGGTTGC